CTCACCCGTAGGCCTGTCGGTTGTTAGGTTTTTAGAACTTCGGACTTTAGTACGCCCGGTCGCCCAACTTAGCTCTTCTATAGCGCACTCACGAAGTGGTCTCTGAGTAGCCCAACTTAGCTTTTCCACAGCACACTCACCAAAGTGGTCCCTGAGTAGCTTAGCCCTTCCACAGCACACTCACCAAAGTAGTCCGCGAGTAGCCCAACTTAGATTTTCCACAGCACGTTGACCAAAGTAATCCTTGAGAAGCCCAAAGTAGCTTTTCCACAGCACGTTCACCAAAGGATCCCTGACTAGCCCAACTTAGCTCTTTCCACACCACACTCGCCAAAGTAATCCCTGAGTAGCCCAACTTAGATCTTCCACAGCGCGTTGACCAAAGTAATCCTTGAGAAGCCCAAAGTAGCTTTTTCACAGCACGTTCACCAAAGGAATCCCTGACTAGCCCAACTTAGCTCTTCCACACCACACTCGCCAAAGTAATCCCTGAGTAGCCCAAAGCAGTTCTTCCATAGCACACTCACCAAAGTGATCCCTGAGTAGTTCAACGCAGCACTTCCACAGGATGTTCACCAAAGAGATCCCGGAGTAGCCCAAAGTAGCTCTTCCACAGCACGTTCCCCAGAGTGATCCCTGAGTATTCAAGCTAGCTTTTCCACAGCACGTTCACCAAGGTGATCTCTGAGTAGCCCAAAGTGGCTCTTTCACAGCACGCTCGCCAAACTGATCCCTGTTCACCAAAGTAATCCCTGAGTAATTCAACGTAGCACTTCCACAGCACATTCACCAAAATGACCTCTGAGTATTCACACCACATTCACCAAACTGATCCCTGAGTAGCTAAACCTAGCTGCCTAGCTCTTCCACAGCACATTCACAAACTGATTTCTAAGTAGTTCAACTTAGCTTGTCCACAGCAACCACAGTTTTTAGTAGCGCAACTTAGCTTCTCCACAGCACATTTACCAAAGAGATCGCAGGATAGTTGTAGACTTGTAATGTACTTATCAAAGCAGTTTTTTCTCACCCGTAGGACTGTGGGGCTGTTGGATTTTAAGAACTTTGGACTTCAGTAGACTCGCTACTTCTGCACATCCACCAGAGTGGTCCCAGCGTAGCTCAGAGCAACCCAAAGAACACAGCACATCCACCAGAGTGGCCCACAGTGGCCCAGAGTAGCCCTTACACAGCACATCCACCAGAGTGGCCCCGAGTAGCCCAGCGTAGCCTTTACACCAGCACATTCACCAGAGTGCTCCCAAGTACCAGTTCCACAGCATATCCACCACAAGTTGACTTGGCAGGGATGCGGGGTTGCCAGGCATTAAAATATCGAAGTTCAGAAACCTCACAAGTAAGTACTCGATGTGTGGTTTTGTTTTCAATAAAGAATCCTTTTCGCGCCGAACCACTTTTCTCTTGTGAAGACCAATTCTTTGAGGGTGGGGAATTTCGAGGTAAAGTAATTTTGGATCTGATTGCCAACATTTGGTCACACGATTCAAGATGATTTCTACGATTCTCAATACACTTGAAACACTTGTCAGGCATTATTTTGAACAAGCAGTGTTCGACGAAGGCTCTTGATGCACTTTATGAATTGTATCCAACCTGATGGAATTGAATTGTTTGCGCGCAAATGCTTTTTCACATGCAAGTCCAAGGTCGCATCGACCGATCCTGAACCATGCGCTGACAAAAGAGCGTTCACGGATTCCGGATGTCCATTGATTGATTCAACCCGTGCGATGGTCTTTTCGAGATCTCTTCAATTAATGCTCTATTCATACCTATGGGCTTTGCGAGGCAAACCATTTGACGATCGCAACTGCCAACCTCTTAGGATATTCCCCAAGCTTCGACAGATCTTGATCATTCAACCCCTGGTGACCCTCACACTTGCATACCCTCGGCATGAACATGGAGCAGCAGCTAGCAAAACGAAACTGGTGCAATGCAGCCAGGCACTTTCTCATCATCAACATATATGCGCATCTTGCTACGTCCGTGATGAACTGCAAACCATGGAATCGGCAGAACGCCTGGACCGACTCGCTCTTCCGGTACGAACACTTTTGCGACATCTCAAGGACTTTGAACTCACATTCACTTACGATTTTCTTTTCAAGAGCAAGCCCTCAAAGTCTTTCAAGTGTCCTTCCTGAAGTTCACCTCGTCGAGGTTGCGGAATCAAGTTCAGAACCGGTGAAGCCCCAGCGCAAGGCGGAGAAGCCCACGCAAGAAACAGTGTGACATGTCGAAAATTCTTCATCTCAACAACCCGTGAAAGCAACGATTTGTGAACGCGCCGCAAATCAACTTGAATTGGTAACAGGCACGACAACGCAATAACCCGACTTAATGACACAACCCTGCATTCGTGCTAATGCATAGCTCAATGATGATATGGGTCAACTTTCCGGCTTTGACATCCGCACCGACGAGTCGCAAAAAGCTTTCAAATTCTTCAAGACCTCCAGCCGACAAATCCTTCTTTGCCGAAAACTGAAAGGTCCTCAACACACGGATCTTCATCTTGGACATCTGGTCTGCGCGTCAGACCTTTGGGACTGCTTCTTGAGCTCTTTGGTCAGCGGTGCACTTCACACCTGGCGTCCACTCCAACACAAGATTTCCTGTGTCCTTCAGTGACTGGACGTAGCAAACAGCTATTGACATGTGTCGAACTCTACGGCTCAAACCTTGGTTGCTAAGGGCTCCCAAACATGATTGTGAATCCGAGAAAATCAGGATGGGATAGTGATTACCAATGTGTCCAAGGCCATCAAAACTCAAATCCAAGAATTCTTTTGTGGACATCTTCAACAACATGTTCTTGTTCCCAAAGCTTTCCAGGATTTCGGTGACACGGCGGATTCCCAAACACTCTTGAGTCAATTGGCAAACATGTTGCAGTGATTTCAGCTTCACTGGATGATAGGGTTACACACCCTTGCAAACGGCCGCACCCCTTCACCAAAGACCCTTGCCAGTAAATCAAATCTCCACTTGTGGATCGACCGCGTTCCAAGTCACTCGAACCCCACAAAGCATCGCTCACGCCAGTCAGGCCATCATACTCAGGCAGCGCTTCATTCCCTGATGGAAAAGCAGATGCAACTGGCGACGGGCATACCTGAGATACTTACGAAGTGCGGTCTCATGCAGATTGCTTGGAGTTGCCTGACCAGTGGCGAGAATGGACAAAAAGCGTGCTTGATCTGGTCTCGATTGTGCCCACCAAGACAATTTTCCGATGATCCGCTTGTATCGAGAAGCTGCTTCATCCGACAATGGTTGAACACAATTGGGATCTTTGACACCTTTCTCCAAGACTTGCAAAAGATCAGGTGGAGTGTCAGATGACCTGAGATCGCAGCAAAAGGGATCATTCATGAACAAATCCTTCAAATACTCTGATGGCACACGCAGCAAAATATCGCTCGATCCGGCTGGTCGCGCAATGTGTCGGCCAAGGAAGACAATCGTTCCTCCAGGTCCCTTTGATGTCGTGAGGGTTCCAGTGCTTCTCACATTGAGTGTTTCTTGGAATGCATCACGAACATCCGAGATCCCCTTCAGGGAGATGGAACCTACAAGCAAGTCATCAACTTAAATCATGACAATGACTGGGGAACCTGATTCTTTGATAGGCCACACATGATCGTTGGCTCGGACATGCAGGTGACAAGATCCACCTCCATCTCAGTCAGGATTCGTGAGCAAGTCTGGAGCCAGCTCTTCGATGCTACTCGCAAACCATTTTCATGGACTTGTTCAAATCTATATATATATAGACTCCTTCATAGTATGTACTCTCGAACGAACAGTCCGCTGCTGGAAGTCTTACTATTGCTCGAATCCCTGGGCGCAAATCGCTGTTCAGGAATGCAGTGGAAATGTCTAACCCTGCAAGGTGCATGTCATGGTACTGGATCATGCTCAAGAAACACCGAAAAGCTTCAATGCTGGGCGTTGCGCTGGAAATTCCCAAGCTTTGAGCAGACCCACCGCCACTTGCAATTTCTTGCGCGACGCACCGAGCTCGGCATTGTCCAGCAACACGTTCAACGGTAATTTGAATTCAGGATCCACCGACATGGAATGATTTTGATCTTGAGATCTTTGGCAAGCATTTGGGCTTCGTCTGACCTGATCGGACGACCGACATACAGAGGTGTCCATGGCTTTCAGCTCAATCATCCTTCCGGACTTGACCAGGTTCAAAGCGACACAGGCCATCTTCGGAGATGCCAAATGACGGCTCAACCAAGTGGATCACGGTTTAAATTCCATGGACCCACGACAGCAAGCTTTTGAATGCTTCTTTCCATGTCGACTGCTAGAGTGTATACAGCACCACAATCAGGAGTTGGTCCATGTTCATGAATCCAAGCCCTTGGAGGTCCGTGAAGTGGCAATGGTTCCGAAATTCCGACCTGATCATCAAGAGGCTCTGCCGGCTTCGACTTGGACTCCAATGCCGGCGCGTCAGCTCCCAACAGTCCTTTCAAAAGGCTCGGGGAAAGGTCAACGTCCCACAATCTGATTCAGTGGTTTAATCTCGGCTTGGAAAACATGTTCACGGCGGTTGATCTTGCTAGATACGATGTGTGCGAGACTGTTCGGCTTCACATGAAGGTATGCAGCATGAATGAAACGTGTTCGTTCTGGGATGGACTCAATCAACGAATCGGGCACCTGAGCATGACAAATACTATCGAACATCGTTGATACCGGCTTTGGACGATCTTTATTCACAACGAGCTCTATCGTCGATCGTCGACTCTCTAATCCGGCAGACTGACCCACAGACCCTCCGACACCGAAGTGATTATGGGTTTGTGTCACATACTGCATGTTTCGGTTGAAGCTCTCTGGACTACCCGAAAGATCAAATCCATGCAATCTCATGTCACTCCTAAAGCAAGCTGTCATCTCCTTCACTCGTCTCACGTTCCTCTCGGCAAGACCAATCGATTTGTGGGCTTGTGGCGCAGCAGCTTTTTGACTTGAAGTGGAAGACCCAACCTTTTCAGCATCGATCCAGTGAGAGGTTCACTGTCCGTCAGTACTTCGACCGGAAAGCTCACTTCAAGCATGCGTTCATGATCGATTTGGACCTGTTCGCCTGATGCAGCGCGAAAATGGATGGGAGTGTTCAATTTGCGTTCTCGCAAAACACGGTAGGTGGAGAGCGACCCGATCGACGCAACAGTTCGACTGGCGCCTGAGTCTTATAACAAGCCACAATAACAGTGGATCCGAACCATCCATGCTTTGACAAATGAAAAACGGCTGCGCGACGTCCTCGGATGAACGCATGACGGATAATCGTCCTCCGTTCTCAATTCGGGTTCGACCCACTCGCTTCCAACTTCTGATTCAGGTTGTTGTTGAAACTCAGTTGCTCGTTTTCCCTTTGGCTTACCCTTATCTTGTCTTCCACCTTTCTTACCCTTGTCTGTTCCCTTGTCACTCTTGCCTTTTTCCCTTGCCAGCTGACTTGGCATTGCCCTCGCCTTTGGACTTGTTCGAACTCTTGTGTGGGCACTCATTGGCAAGATGACCTTGATGGCAATTGAAACAAGTAGGAGTCTCACCGCCGACACCCTTGCCTTTGTCCTGATGGTCGGAACCTTTCAACCCTTTTGCATTCTGCTTATCTTTCCCCTTTCCTTGCTTGCCTTTGTCCTTGCCTTTCTCCCCGATGGTTGCAATTGGTTGGCCGTTTGGGTCGGACTAAATTCGCTGTTGTGATTCATAACGAAGCAGGACTTTGTCCGCTTCAAGAAAATCGAGTCCCTGGGTGTTCACGGCTGGATCGACAAGTTGAGCAACCCGCTCAAATTTTGGGCTCAATGTACAACTCAGACTGGACTTTTCTCACACATTCAGGAACGGATTTGGCACTGATGGTTGAGTTGGCCAACTGCGAACGAAAAAATAGGAGTTCCGTTCGGGTCTTGATCCAAAAAACCTCGGGCCAACAATCTAAGGCACTCAAATCCACAGCAGCGATCGAATCCTTTCCCTTCCTCGTAGTTGCGGATGACCAAAGTAGCCTTGGGATGGTGCTCGACGCTCGAAGCACATTTTCAAAACGGAGAGAAGTCTAAATCTGGTGATCTGGTTGGCCGAAAGCCGATGCCATCCTAAAGGCTCTTTCTCTTTGACACATGAAAGGATTTCGGCAGGGTATGCATTCGATCGGAGACCGGTCCAACTGGCTAGGCTTGCCATCCGATCCATGAAGCCTACCACCGCACTATAGGCCTCAATTTCCACTCTGAGTGATTCGGGAGTGGGATAGGTGGCATCCAATTCTCAGACCTCTTAAAGGGATTCTGATCATTATCAATAACATGTGCAGTGGATCCATCTGGTGTTCCTATCGACGCGGGCATTGTGCTCGGGCGAGCTGCAAAACCTGGGGGATGGTGAATGGCTGATCATGTTCAATCCCGGCAACTTGAAACGAACTCTGCATGAAATTGCTCCACGGATCATTGCTCTGTAATGGATCAATTGGCATTGAGCCCTGTGAAATACGGTGCGATGGACGATGCTGCATTGAATGGTTCGGAATTTCACTATCGGTTTGATTCGCCTGACTAGGCTGCGCGAAAGTACTGCCTCCAGCGGGAGGAAACGGTGGTACGGCATTTGGGGGAATCACAGTTGGAGGAGTGGCAGTCATTCCAACCTGTGGAGGTACAGGCATTTGCGCTTGGCTCGAGCTTGGTTGTGCATTTGTGCTTGTACGCTCAACACTTGTTGAAGCAGTGGACCCAAGCTCCCTAGAGTGCTAGCGATTTGGGATACCTCGGGTTATCTCGGGTTCTAACTGGTTCAAACGTCTTTCACTCATGCTTCCACCACCCGACCGAGTTTCCGGCGCTCCACGACGGGCTTCTGATCGGCTTTGGACCGTTCGCGAGGAGGTCTTCCAGGTGTTCCATCTTCGGCCATGGCTCAGTGATCACTACGTGATGAAAGCCAAAACAAATGTAGAACACTTTAGAATCCTACGCTCCTTTACAGGAGCTCCGCTACCATATGAAAACTTGACACCAGGTTCAACCTCAAAAGAAAAACTTGTACACTGCTTCATTTTGTGGAGTTGACCTTAGCGTGAACTAACGTTCACACGGCCCACCGTCCCTTCTGCCGCGCAATTTCTTTCGCGACTCGAGCCACGCGTTGTGGTCATCGAATGCCCGAACGGCAGTTCGAGCCCCGCTGAAATTGCATCGAACCTTCGATGATGGAGTTGGTACTTCTTTCTCGATTTGTGCGTGTCATTCACGCATCTCAAAAACTGGCCAAAAATAGCCTCTATGGCTATGGCGCGAATCGAACCTGAATTTGAACGCGGCCGTCGAACTGCACTTTTGACCTTTGGGAGGATCTCACTCTCACGTTATATTTCATAGGTGATGGTGGTGGTGGTTGTTGTTGTTGCTGCGAAGCGTGGCGGAGTCGCTGCTCCAAATCAATTGCAGCAACATCGGCAGGAAAAACCTGGTCAAATGTGCAGAGCAGCTGCAGCTCTGTGTGCACACACCACGGGGATCTGTTGTTTGATGTTGAGTTTATTTTAGTCACCCTTGCTGAAAGCTTCGGGTTGCTTGTCTAGAATCTAGAGCCAAGCTCGTGTTGGTTCCACCTTTGGGGCTGAAGTCCCAAAAACTGATGGCAAACAGACGAAGAACACAAATCAAATTTCTGAGGTTAATGAATAAAAACTTTTCAGACGCCCCAGGATCCATATGGGAAAGAGATCCTTCACAGGGCCTTGGACACTGGTGACTGGTGGTTCGTCCTTGGGCGAGGGATCAGCCACAATGGATCAGACGTACGTCCCTGCGGGCACGCAAATTCCAGCATGGCGAACCATGATGGGTACCAGCGTGGACGGGAGATTCATGGTGAAACGCAAGCAGGCATCGCGCCTTCCGCACGGACTTTTTCCTTACGTTCTTGCTTTATTTCTCAATGCATTTGCTGGTCGCATTTTGCGGCTTTGGAGCCTGGGCGGAATGTTGAGGTTGTGGGCAGTTGGCGCTCTTTGCACCAATGCGATTGTAGCACGTTTTGCATTCAACAGCGCCCCCAGGTTTTCCTACCCAGTCCGTAGATAAATTTCCTACCCCACTAAAAGACAAGAGGTGGAAAAGGTTAACCTCTATTTTCCAGGGAAACTGAGGGGGTCAGTTGTCAGTATAGCTTGACGAACAGCGCAATTGTACGTGTATGCAGTTGCTACTTGTTACTTGTACTGTTTGTCCTAAGTGGTGCGTCTAGTATATAAGACCAATGTCTGGTGTAGCTGACCAGCGCTTTTGCCTCACAGTTCATTAGACCATCTGTGTTGAGGTGGCTTTGTCAGATAATGAAGTGCAACCCATGCAAACAGTGCAGTGCAGAGCATGGAATATCCACCGAGGGAAACAACACGGATAGTTTCGCCGAGGTTCACAGCTTCACTTCCCTTCGCTTCCGGAGTCTTTCTTCTCCGCTTCTGGGAATCCTCCGTCTTTCTAGCACTTGGGCAGGTTCGTGCGGACCTGTCCATCACAACTCATGAAATTGGTACCTTGCAATTGTTTGGGCATGTTTGAGCTTTCTGCAGCTAAACGCTGCTGCCAATGCAAGGGCATGATGCGCTCAGGCATATGTGCAGGGAAAGCGCTACTTTTTCTTGCGGAACTCAGCGTTTTGTTTCCGCAGCTGGACATGGCTAGCAACGAAGCTCAACAGTTGCGTTGTTGTGGCTGGAGGAGAATACATTTAGCGTATTATATTAGCTTCCAGCGGTCCAGCGCCACCTTGACCAAGGCAATGTTGTCATGTTCTTGCTCCACAAGCATTGCCTGTTGGGGCGTGTCACACCATCTTCTGGAGGGCAACTTCGTGGCTGGGACAACCTAAAGTGGGTTGGCGGCTTAGATCAGAAGGCAGTTGAACTTGTGATGAAATCGTATGGCACCTTCAGAGGTTTTGAAGCATTGAACTTGTGATGAATCGTGAAACTTGCCTCCATAGTGCTTGCCAGGTGTCAGCCTACACCAATACACCGCACAACATGACTGCGCTGAAGCCGTACTCATGCACTCCAATATTGACCTGGCTGGCCAAGGACCGCTCGGCATTCAGCAAGCTTAAATTGCCCGGTCTGGTGTTTGGTAACGCGGTGCACGTGGATTGTGCTTTGTGGCAGGCTGGGGGTGCACAAGTGGGGGAGAATGTCCAGATCCACTGGAGAGGCTTCCAAGGATGCCCAGAGCTTGACATGATAACACTCGGCGACGATGTCTACATAGGCAGGGACTCCTGGCCGACCCACTACTTGGATGCTTCTTTCTAATTGCAATCAGGATGCTGGATGAGAGATAGGACAACCGAACTTTAGTCTTGTGTGTTCGGTAGGCCACCCCAAAGAAGTAGAACACTTGCATTTTCTTTTTCTAGTATGATTTTGCTATGGTTTTGTTAGGTATTCGATATGAGTTGGCTAATTACGTTTGTTTTTATGAATTTTTGGTGTTTTGTTTTTTGAATGAGTTGGCTATAGTTTTCTTATGGCCTTCAAGGTCTACATGAAAGGCCTTTTGATTGGCCAAACCTCTTGCCTTTGTAATGAGGCATGTGATTCCTTTTCAACCGTTAAATTGCCGTTCTAAGTTGCGTGGTGTAATACAAGTATGTAGCGGATTCGCATGATTTTTGGGTCAGCCTATTTGAGGCGATGGCTAGCCAGAAAAGTAGTTGCTATATAGGCTTTCAATCAACTGATTGTATTGGACGTGAAAACTACCGCCAAGCTGTTTGGACTACTATTCAGCGCTTTTGATAAACATGAGAGCCTATTGATTTGCGAAGATGGCCCTGTACACCTACCTCGTCGCCGCCACCAGAATTAGAATATATATTGCACATTCAAAAGCAATTTCGGAATTCAACAAACATGCTATAGTATTGGCCAAGGACGCTACTAGGGGCTCCTGGCCTTTCTAGTAGGAGCAAGGACGCTACTAGGGGCTCCTACATGCTGTATTGGCCCTCAATTTAAGATGGTCCAGGTTTGGCCAGGCCAAAGTCTTTGAGGGAAGCGTCCTGACGCCTTCTCCTTCTTGGTGCTGGCAAGGGCTTTGAAATGGGGGGATGTCAGAGTGGGGCGAATTCGCCAAAGGGGGTCCTTGGCAGCGTCGGGGGTTGTCACTTGGAACGTTTTTGAGCACCAAACTATTCACTTTGGAGGTGGCGTCGGCAATGTGAAACCACCCCAGACTAGCATATCAAAATCATAACCAACGCATAACAACATTATAACCAACATCATAACGAAATCGGAAAACTAATGTCCAGGCATTTATTTTTATGACATCGTTATATTTTCTTTACGATGTTGATATGAGTACGATGAATCTTATGCATTTCTAATTATGGTTTGTTACGGTTTTGGACCACCGTGTACTTTTGGTTATGGTTTTCTTGCGCATCATCCAGGAGCCTAAGTAGTTGACCTCCAGGAGTGCCCCAATGTGGTCTTTGCGCCGCGACCCAGGCAGCCCAGGGTCTGGTTCGTTATGGTTACTTTGAAAAGAAAGAGGCAAAATGACGGGCACCGCAAAAGGCACACCTATTTAAAAGGGAGACAGCAAAGACAGACAGCAAAAGAGAGGAGAGAAGCTGGAAGACGGGCACGCAGGACCAAGAACATAAGAAACCGGAATTGTGAGGATCTTGGTCTGCTGTCCCGCCAGCCCCCCTACCATGTGGTGGGAGGCTTCGTAAAGCAAGAACAGCAACCGACGACCAATTTCCTACCATGGGAACACAGAAGTCCCGTGTCACGTACATTGCTTGGGAAAGAGCATTGGCTGTTTGGTCCTTTTGGAACTTCAAGAGGACTCCTTCTCGCAAAGCCAAAGGTGAGCAACACTTTCCAGAAGATGCAGCTATGCCTAGGCTTAGCGCAAAAGAGAACGTTTGAAGTCCTCAAAACTCCAAGCAGAAACCGCAAGCATTCTCCTATCATTTTGATAAAATCCTTTATAACCATAAAGAAACCATATCAAAGTCATAATTCAGCGTGTAATGAATTCATAGCAAAATCATAGCAAATACTGTAAATATAAGAAACAAACGGTTACAGTATTATACAAGATTGCCTTAACCTCAAACTCTCAACTTTAGTCACAAAATACAAAATGCATGTCCAGGAAAGACTGGCGCACACGGGAAATCTTCTAAGGCCCTTAGACCAAAGCTTACCCCATGATCGTTTTGACAAAAGCCATCGCGTGCGCAATCTTGCAGGCAATTTGTTTCTGACTCTCACTCTCTCGGCTTTGTCAATCAAAGCAGCAAAGACATCAGCAAAGACATGCCTTTGTTTGATCTCGATGCTGTCTCACCGCAGACGTTTGAGGCCAGGGTGAAACATTTGGCAGAACGTTACGGCAAGTCACTCATTAATAGCCAGCAATAGAACCTTAAGCTCCAGCAACTGCTCTTCAACAAGCGACTCCGCCACTGAGACTGCATGTGAACGAAGTGCCGGCTGAACTTAATGCAATTCATCACACATGCCATGCATGCAACGATTATCAGTTAGGGTGTAAGGCCTGGCCTATCCCATGATTTTGGGGGTTATGAAAAGCACCATCCGCACAAGCCTTTGAGGTGGAGCTTTTTACTCCCACAAATTTGCTGCGACGAGTTTGGCCTTCAGTGCTGTCACAGTTGGCCAAGGCAAGCTGCTCAGGTTTGCTAGTGTTTCTCTTCGGCCCGGGAATCAGAATGCTTGAGTCAACCACGTTGAACATGTTTTACTTGACTTTTGACCCTTCAGGAGTTCATACCGGAGGTCGAAGCATGCTGAGCCCTGGGAGTCATTTGCCTCCCAACGCAATTGCTCTAGAGGGAACCTTGGTGATTCCTGGAAGTGCGGATCTCAAGTCGCATGCCAAACAATACTTGAGCGGCACCTCAGCTGGAAAGGTTTAATTACCAATTCTTTTTAGCCGAGGCTATGTGTATTTGTAGAATCCTTCTTCGCAACTTGAACCTTAAAGATTCTACAATGGTTTGTAGATGTTTGTAGTAGAGATAGTAGAGTCAATTTGATGGAGGATTGTGGACGTCTTGCGAGCCTAGGGACGATCTTGAATGTTTGATTTGCCAGAGTTGTTTTTTGGATTGACTCAGACTCAGACTGCTAAAATATTCCTAACATCATTGCCGGCCGTTGTCCTCTATGCCTAAAGTCGTTATGCGACGTGTTGCCCTGAGACCCATGTGAAGTGATTGCATCGAAGGGTGGCGGCCAAAGTCACGAAAGCTAGCTCTTGCCAGCCCTGATACTGCGGATTGATATAAGATGTGATTTAATTTACTGTAGACACACTCCCCTGTCGCCAGGCTCGGGCTCAACTCCATCCTGGTCCGTTTTGGTGTTTTGGTTGGGGGGTCACATGTTCGAGTCTGCTGTGGTCCGGTTTTGTGTCAGGTTCGATGGTCTTGGAGTAACGAACTTGGGAAGGGTCAATCTTGGCCACAGACGCGTCTCAGTTGACAACTTCCTGTGGGCCCACTTGCTGTTCCGACTCGCTTGCCCGCTGTCCTCTAGCTTTCGTTCACCTCCGCTGGCTGCAAGTTAGGAAATGCTATGGCTATGGAATGCGCCATGCCAAAAATGTCGTCAGGGTTAGGCTCATTGAGCATCATGAATGAATATGAATCATCATTTGCCGCCAAGATCTGCCAAGGTTCCTGGATTTTGTGCGGTTGCCAAGGCTATAAGTTGCACCAGGTTGCACTCCTCATCGATTTGTACAAGTGCTTGGTCACTGAGAACCTGTCAGCAAACACTTACAGTAACGCACCGACCGCATAGCTTTCCGAACTTTTTGTTCACAATCCAACGCACAAACTTCAACCAGAACTACCTTCCTTCTCTTGCGCCACCATGTGTGTGTAGGGGTGCCTGCCTCACCCTAGCCTTCAACGCGGGAGTAGAGTTCCGCAAAGACATCACCTTGAAGACATCTTTGGGGCAGGGCCTGGATCCAAACTTACGGCAAGCAACAGAGAGAGAGAGAGGAGAGAGGAGAGAGGAGAGAGGAGAGAGGAGAGAGG